GAATCATAATGTAAATATCTGATATGCAGGATGTATTTTCATTGTTACAAATTGAACATAATTAAAGCATAGTGATTAATCACAAAAACAATATGTAATTATATATGTGTTTTCCGATGGTCTTAGGCGACCCCTGTGAAAGGGTCATTACTAGAGGCCCGGTGCACAAAAATTTGTGCACTTGGGGGGGTCCCTCAGCCTGGCCTGCACCCATTTGCAGTTCAGGACCCCTTGGGGGATGTCCACCTGTTGACTTAGGCCCACTCCCCGGGGGATCAGGCCTAAGCTTGCAGTCAGACATCCTTCTGGCAGCCAGAGAGCCCTTGGGGGATGTCCAACTAAAGGCTTAGGCCCCCAAGGGAGTTGTGATGAGGAAGCTGGGGTGACAGAGGAGCCATGCTGTTGCACCCAGCCGCCCTGGGTCAGGTTGCACACGGGACGCCCGCTACCCCAGGTTACATATAGCAGGCCCAGATGGTGGCGAGGCAGGCGGGATGGTGCTGACCCGCCCTGCCTGCAGTATGCAAATTAGCTGCCATCTTTGTTGGCGGTTAATTTGCATATCGCGCTGATTAGCCAATGGGAAGCGTAGCGAAGGTATGGTCAATTACCATGTTTGTTTATTATTAGATAGGATTATATATATATAATTGGTGTATATATGTATATTATATTTACAATATGTATATCTGCTTACATAGATATATATAGTTACATATCTATATAATTATGCAACTCTGTTCCCTAGAAATTTTCAACCAAATTATGGAGGAAAAGCCCAAAACAAAATTTTTAAATCTCACAAATGTATTTCTGATGTTCTTTCCCAACTAAATATATTCTAGAATATGTCTCAAACCTCCATCAACTTTCTGCCCTACCAGAAACTAAAAAGTGACTATAGACTGCAAATGAATTATAATCTGTGTTATTTATTTAGAAACTAGAGGCCCAGTGCATGAATTCATGCACAGGTGGGGTTCGGCTGGCCTGGCCCCAATCAGCAGTGTGGATGTGGTCTGGCCAGCCCCGCCCCTGAATGGGGCCAGGGAAGGAGCCATGGGAGGTTGGCCAGCCAGCCCCACCCCCAATTGGTGTGGGGGAGCTGATTGGAAGCCAGCAGCCTGGGGGAGAGGCCATGGGTGATTGGCCAGCTGACCCTGCTCCTGACCAGAGTCGGGGGCTGATTGGGGGCAGAGATGGCTGGGGGGAGAGGCCATGGGCCTATTGGGCTGATGGGGGCCATCGGGGGTGGAGCCATCCAGGGGGAGGGGCTGCAGGCAGTTGGCCAGCTGGCCCTGCACCTGATTGAGGTGGTGGGGACCCATCTGGGGCAGGGCTGGCCAGGGGGAGGGGATGCAGGAGGTTGGCCGGCCGGCCCTGCCCCCTATTGGGGCAGGACTGGCTGGGGGGAGGGGTTTCAGGAGGTGGGCCGGCCAGGGGGAGGGGCTGCAAGAGGGGGGCCAGCTGACCCCACTCCCTTTTGGGGTAGGTTGGTGGCGATCAGGGGTGGGGCAGCTGGGAGGAAGGGCTGCAGGGGGGTTGGCCAGCCACCCCACCCTCCTTGATTGGAATGGGAGAGCCAATCAGGAGCAGGACGGCCAGAGGGAGGGGCCATGGAAGGTTGGCCAGCCGGCCCCATCCCCTGATCAGGCCAATTTGCTGTCCATAGTGGGCGTCATAGTGACCAGTTGTTATGGTCGTTACAGAGTTCCAGTCGCTGGCTTTTTATATATATAGATGTTTTTATTTGTGGCATATATTTTATGTAAGAGCTAATCCATCAAGTTTTTCAACTTGGGTATATCCATTAATTCTCAAATTTTAAAGCACATATTTCAATGTCACATTAGAATCATTTCGTAAAGGTGGGCCCTATAGCTGGCATCTAATCCAGCAAGGAAGTAGCAGTAGTCTTTCATATCTACAGAGGACTCACTTTGTGATTATATTACTATTTAATAATAAGAATGGTGTCAAAATTCTCAGCATGTTCATCAATAGTATTTTAGTCTCAATGATTGTAATCTTTATCTCCCTGATATTTTCATGCTGGAATATCCCAGGTTTTTATTTTCAGACCTGTGTGTTTTTTCTTTGCTGTATTTGAATTTTGGTCATCTTATTTGGCTTTATGGTTTTAAATACCAACTATATCCTGACAAATCCCAAGTTAATATGTACACTCCAGATGCATATCCAACTGCCTATGTATCAGTATTCAATTTGAATGTCTACTGGTAATAATCATGTTAGACTTATCATGTCTAAAACTATGTACTCACATCAAGACAAAGACATGCTCAGCCACAGTCTCCCAAAACTCAGAAACTCTGACTTTGAATTTACTGAGATAGAACTCTTGGAGTCATGGCACTTCTCTCTCTTCCATTCCACATCCAGTTTATCAAAAAATGCTGATGACTCTTTCATCCAGATATTTCAAGTATTGACATCTGGAATCCAACTACTTTCCACCACCTTTACTACTACCACCATGATCCAATCCATCGTCATCTTGGACCTGAAATATAATAGCCTCCTGATGGATCTTTCTTCATCCACTTTTGCTTTACAATCTAGACAAGACAAATACACAAGACAAATCATGTCACTTCCTCTGTTCAACATGTTCCAGTGGTCTCCTCTCTTACCCAGGGAATATTCACAGTCATTATATGTTATATCTGACTCCTCTCCATCATCTCAACTGCTCCAACGACTCCCCCCTTTATACACTCTCCTACATCCACACTAGCCTCCAATATTTTCTTAAACTCACCAAACATGTTTCAAACTTGCTGTTCTCTCTACCTGAAATATTCTTCCCCCAGGTACCCACATGATTTACTGTCTCACTTCATGCAGGTTTCTGCTGAAGTGTCATCTTATTACAGGGCTCTTGACATAAAAATAACAACAACCTCTCCCTCAATTCCTGTCTGCATTCACTCTCTTCTCTACCCATCTTGTTTTTAGTTTCTAGCACTTTCATTCCTCAACATACTACATATCTGTTTATTTCTTTTCTTGTTCCCCATTACAAGGTAAGATCACTGAGTATAAGGCCTTTGCTTCATTTATGGTGTCTTCCAGACCCTGAAACAGGGCCTACCACATAGTAAAAATAATAAAATCTCTGATAACCTAGCTCTATTTTCCTCTCAAGCCTTATTACTTCCCCGGTATGTGGTACTCCAGGCACAATAAGCAACTTACATTTCCTTAACCCTGATTGCTCTATCTCACTTCATTCCTTCGATAAGCTCTTACCTCCACCTGTGTCACCTTCACTCTCTCCGTTCTCCTGACTTAAAAGTGACTTTCCTTCAGAGAGTTTTTCCTGACTGCTCAAGTCTGTTTGGTGTCCTTTCCAGGTCCTCCTACAGTACCTGTGCTTTTTTGTGGTGCACAACTGCCCTCTTCAGAATCTACTGCAACCAGCCCACTTCTGTGCCCACTTCTCAAGACCAGGGACAATATTTTATTCACTGTTGGAAATTGGTGGAAAAGTTCAGATGGTGTGGAATTACATACGGGGTGTTTGTTTGTTTCTTTGTTTGTTTGAACACACCATATAAGAAGGGGTATGGAGAGAGGAAGAGGAGAAAGAAAAAGAGTGACGTAGACTAGAGAAGAAGGTTGGGAGTACTCAGAGTCTTACAAATAGGAAAGAGAAGAAGGAACTTCAGTCTCAAGATCCAGACGGCCAAGATGTTCACACTACTTCTACAGATGTCTCCCCAACCTCACCCACACACACTAATGTGTGAACAGCCCCACTGCCTAATAATTTTGAAAACTTATAAGCTTTCATCCCTAGGGTGTGGGTAATATGGACACATCAGGAATGGGTGGTTTGCAGAGCAAATGTTGTGTTCTGACTAAGGTGGACAAGCTCACAATGAACTGGAGACTTTCCCAAAAGCCAGTAGTTTAAGGAGAAAAATAAATGAAGACACAAGACCACTGTTGTAGCCACCAAACTCAGAGCCCAAGTGAAAACCGTTAAATGTCCTATAAGGGCTTATGTGACTCAACTCTCCATCACCTCTGTGATTTCATCTCCCTACTATTCTGCCCCTTGTCTGTCTACACAGGCACACTGACTTCCTTGTTGTTCTAAATTATCAAATACACCCCCTTCTCAGGAACTTTATTTGTAGTTTCCCTGTCTTCTTCCTGAAATGGCCTTTCTCGAATATCTCCATAGACACATTCCTCACTCCCTTCAGGCTTCTCCTCAAATGTTTCCATTATGTGAGCCCTTCCCTGGCAGCTTCACTTAAAATGTCAACTGCCCCCTGATAATTATCTGTTCCCACATTCCCTTTATTTTCCTCCTTAAACTATTGAACCTGCTTTTTGGTTTTTCATAGTAGTTCCATGTATTGTCTGTCCCTCTCCATGAGGATGGGAGTTTCTAGAGGGGCTGTCTATTTTTCTTTTTACACTGTAAGCGCTTGATAAATATTTGTTGAATATGAATGAATAAAGAGTCAGAAAAACTGGTTATCCAACTGATATTATCACTAATTAACTAGCTTTTATCTCATCTAATCTTTATCTGTAACACAGGTGCAATAAAGAGTGATTTCCATACATCAAGGTCTGTTTCATCAACGGAAAGAAAAGATGGGAAAAGAAAAGCTGAAGAAGTGAATGCCCTTATTTTGAATGATGGGACTGCACATTTTGGGGCCTACCTTGGTTTTTAAAGAGAATATGAACTCCTAGAGCCCAAGGACGTCACTAGTAAATGCACATTGGCTGCTGTGTTTGGCAAAGTGGGTAATGAGGAAGAGCAGTGACTGAGGGAGTCTGAGTTACCTGGAAGAGTGGAGACAGATTGGCGAGAGCCCTGTATCTGTAAGTGTGGGAGTGATGCCAGAGGCAGGGGCCCTTGTGATTTTCCCTCCCCCCAGAGAGAAACAGTGGGAACCCTGTGGGAGTGCCACACAAAAGGACATGAAGATATTTTCCCTGTCTGCCAAGCCCCTGGAGCCCCAGTCCATGCTCCCACAGCCTGTTCCCATGGGCCTCCTGGGCAGCATTATAAATAGGCCTGTACCTAAAAGGGCAAGCCAGCTCCAGCTGTTTTCTCTGCACCATTTTCAAGTGAGTGCAACCTCATCTGGGGTTAGGCAGCCCAAATCCTGCATCCTAAGGGACCTTGAAGACCCCACACACTGCCTCACAGCAGGGCAGGGAAAGCCCTTGCATGCCACCTACACCTCCATGGGCCAAGAAGGAATGTCTCAGAGCATTAGCAAGTGAGTATAAATGCAACAGCCACATTTGGACCCAAAGATAATCAGAAATTGGGTCTAGCCAGGGGTCACCTTAGGCAAAAGGCAAGGCAACCTGGAAGGGAGACATAAGGTCTTCTGGGATAGTTAACTAGGGAAACAAGATGACGGCCCAAAGTCTTAGACTGCTACCAGGAAAGCAGAAACGATGTCCTGCGGAGTGATGGGTCAGGACAGTAGCTGACTCTCTGCGGCCAACAGAGGCCCTTATATCTATCTAAAGTGCTACATGCAGTGGGATGGGTAGGAGGCCTTGAAAAGGAAGAAATATGTTACTATGCTCCTCTTGCTACTTCCATTCCTACCCTTTTTTTTCGCCTGGGCCCCATTTCTCTTGCACACAGAGGTCCAGAGATATGGCCTCCCTCTAAGGAAGTTACTTTAGCATTACCACATACTTATCAGCTTGATTTGTTTGGATATATGAATCTCCTTTCCCCAAGTTACCTATGCCAGATACGTAGATGGTTGATGGATGCAAGATATAAGCTTCCTTTGATGTCACTGAGGGATGCAATTATCTGCCTCTGAAAAGGACTTTTTATTCTCTGACAGCAACTAGGGTCCAAAGTAGGGATCTGTGCTTATCAAGGAGGGTAGCTGTTATGCCTTTGTACATGTTCTGAGGATGGAGAAAAGCAAATAACAGTCAGAGGTGTGGATTTTATAATCTTTAATCCCTGGATTTGTTACTACTAGTTTGTCTCCAATGGGGATAATACAAGTCAAATCTTTTAGTTCTCATCTTATTATATTGATGTAAGACTGCTGGTTTCCAAACTCTCTCCACTAAGGCCAAATGGAAGAGCATCTCCCAGTTGCAGTTAAGGACTGAGGTTAAGAGGGAAGAAGAATCTTGGCGAGATGAACAGTTAACCTGAACACAATTGATGAAAACTCCTGCAGAATTTATTCCCAAGACTCAGAAGTTCTTATTGAAGCGATTTCCTTGGCTCTTGAGATACAATTATCTCTAAAAGCCAGGACACTAGGGACCCTCGCAGGGAAACATTTAATGAGGTCAGAGTACATGTGTGTAGGGTTGAGGAGGTTGCGGCAGAACAGCACTGGGTTTCTAAAAAGGAAATGTCTGCCCTAATATGAATGCCGTGTTGGCCAATGTTCCAGGTAAGACAAAGCTCTAGGAATATCTGGACTCGGACCAAGTTCTTGGGACAATAAGAGTGGCCTTGTAGGCAGCTTTCACGTGTGTAGGATCCCATCAGCAAGGAGAGAGAGAGAAGAGCCTTCACAGGGAACATGCCAAACAGCTAAGATCTGCCGGAGGCCCCACACCCTGCCAGCACTTTTATCTCCAGAGAAGTCATTGGAGGGGCTCCTGCCTTTCATTCAATGACCCCCAGATGACTTTTCTTTTTTTTTTTTTTTTCTTAATAGATTGACTTTTGGCCTTTTGCTTCATATTTTTTTTCCTTTTAATTTTTTTAAAAAATACTATTGTGTTTCTTTCTCCCCACACTGACCTTAGACCTGGGTATTTGGAATCCTGAAAAACTGCAAAGCAAAATAAAACAAAACAAAACCCTCCCTATCCTCAATATACCATTTATTCCCTTCTCTGTTTGATTTCTACTTATGTTTCAAAACTGAACAGAAGGATCATCTTTTTCAGGAATATGATCATGCTTCTCCTCTTCCCATGCATTAAATGCACACCTTATGCTAGCACATTCCCAAACCCTAATAATTTGGTTACTTGTCCCTTTTTCACTCTAAGTAGGGCATCTGAAGGGCAAAAGGTGTCTTTCACCTCTGAATCAACAGCATCTAACAAATAACCTTGTACATAGTATGTCATGTAAGTCATTGTTTATGGAATGAATGAAAAATTGAAGGAAAGAAGGGAGACAGGAGAGGAGAAGGGAGAGGAGGGGAAGGGAAGGGAGAATGGAGAAGGGAAGGGAAGGGAAGGGAAGGGAAGAAAAGGGAAGGGAAGGGAAGGAAGGAAAGGAAAGAGAAGGGAAGGGGAGGGAAGGGGAGGGAAAAGAGGAAAGGGAAGGGGAAGGGGAAGGAAGAAAGGAAAGAGAAGGGAAGGAAGGAAGGGGAGGGGAGGGGAGGAGGACACAGCCATATCTGGAAGGAGTTCCCAAAAGGGTATCTCTTAACACCTATCTGAGAAAAGGACCACCCAGAGTCCAGATAATGAAGGTATGGGCCGGGAGAAGGAGTCTAAGGGAACTTGAGAAGGATACATTTTGGGATAAGCATGTTCTTTCCGGGTTCCCTTTTAAAAATATAAATGGACCTTGAGAATAGTGACAGTACATGAATTTGAGCTGTCACTTTTCTCTTTGGAGGGGGCTTCATAGCTTATGAAAAAGCCGAAAAGGCTTGGAAGAGGGAGGAGAGAATAAAGGAAGGAGAACTGAGGTGCATCAGTCCCCAGGTTTCCAGGGCTGGCCTCTCTGATTGTGCTCCATCTCCTACCAGGCTGCCAGTGTGACCTGACCCTCTCCAGTGCCCCTTCTCCATGCCAGCTATGAGTTCCTGCAACTTCACACATGCCACCTTCGTGCTTATTGGTTTCCCCGGACTAGAAGAAGTCCATTTCTGGATCGGCTTCCCTCTGCTTTCAATGTATGCTGTGGCCGTGTTTGGAAACTGCATCGTGGTCTTTATCGTAAAGACGGAGCGCAGCCTGCATGCTCCCATGTACCTCTTTCTCTGCATGCTGGCAGCCATTGACCTGGCCTTGTCCACATCCACCATGCCCAAGATCCTCGCCCTCTTTTGGTTTGATTCCAGGGAGATTGCCTTTGATGCCTGCATTGCCCAGATGTTCTTTATTCATGCTCTCTCGGCCATTGAGTCCACCATCCTTCTGGCCATGGCCTTTGACCGTTATATAGCCATCTGCCACCCATTGCGCCATGCTGCAGTGCTCAACAACACAGTAACAGCCCAAATTTGTGTGGTGGCCGTGGTCCGTGGATCCCTCTTCTTTATCCCACTGCCTCTGCTCATCAAACGGCTGGCCTTCTGCCAGTCCAATGTGCTCTCGCACTCCTATTGTGTACACCAGGATGTGATGAAGTTGTCACAAACAGACACATTGCCCAATATGGTCTATGGTCTTACTGCCATTCTCCTGATTATGGGAGTGGACGTCTTGTTCATCTCCTTGTCCTATTTTCTGATTATACGAACAGTTCTACGACTGCCTTCCAAGTCAGAGCGGGCCAAGGCCTTTGGAAACTGTGTGTCACACATCAGTGTGGTATTGGCCTTCTATGTGCCTCTCATTGGCCTCTCAGTGGTACATCGCTTTGGAAACAGCCTTCATCCCATTGTGCATGTTCTCATGGGTGATATCTACCTACTCCTGCCTCCTGTGATCAATCCCATTATCTATGCTGCCAAAACCAAACAGATCAGAACTCGAGTCCTAGCTATGTTCAAGATCAGCTGTGACAAGGACCCTCGGGCTGTGTGAAGCAGGTGACCCTTCCCACTCCACTTTCCCTTATCCTTAATGGCTTGATAATGACTTACTAATGCTAGCCGATAAGCATATCAATGCTTTTCTCTGGTTTGATCTCCAAATTCTGTCTCAGCTCAGAGTGAAATTTGGGGAGATATCGTAATTCCCTTCCATAGCTCAAAATGTTATTTATATCTTTACTATATAAAAAAATTAAGTAGAAAATCCACCAATGCTCCAATAAGTATTTAAAAAAAAAACATAAAGAAGAGTGCCAAAAATACAGTTATTTACTATATAAAAAATTTAAGTAGAAAATCCACCAATGCTCCAATAAGTATTTTAAAAAAAAAAAAAAACATAAAGAAGAGTGCCAAAAATACAGTTGGCTTTGAAACAAGAGACAAATTACTCTATCTGACTAGTAATCCAAGGTAGCATTTTTGTCTATCAAATTAGCAATTTTTATTAATGAGAATTTACAATAAAAAAGGAGATTATGTTAAAACATATAGAGTGTCCCAAAAAATGTATACACACTTTAACAGCTGATAACTCACTTAATTTTTACTCCTTTTCAGGTTTAAATGTTTTGAAATAATGGGTGAAGCCAGACTAGGCTTTGAACAAAGAAACTTTATCCTAAAGTACCACTAGACAAAATATAAAGTTTATGGTATGAAACCAGCAACAGTCGATGAACTGAGGGCACACGAATACCGAACGAAATGATTCTTGATGTTTGTGATTCCATTGCTTCGTGTTATTAGCAGTACCAGAATGATCATCAGTTTGAAAACAGGCATTGACAAAAAAAAAAATTATTCATTTCTGCAGATTCTTTTAAATTTTGGAAATGAACTGTATGTTAATAAACACTGACTTTATAATCATTCAAAGTGTGTATACATTTTTGGGACACCCTGTATATTCTTAAACAATACAGCTGATGATATAATTGGTAGTATGAAACAAGAACTTTTTAAAAGTTGTATACTTTAATGCTGAAATCGCACTTTTGAAAATGCATCCTAACAAAATATCTATAAGTGGCAGAAAACGGGTTTTTCAAAACAGATATTAATTACACCACTATTTACAGTAATCATATATTAGAAATCTCCTACCATAATATGTAAAAGTAAGGAAGAGTAAACTCAAGTATGGTCCATTTACTTAATGGAATATTATGTGGAATAATCCATATTAAAGAAATATGATATGGCCTTTAAAGACTCTGCTATAAAACAAAACAATCTATAATTTTAAGAAAAACAATAGACACATGATTGAAACTAACTTGAAAAATAAACTGCCTCGAAGGAAATATGCTCAAATTATTAGTGACTTATTTTTGGTCTTATTTTCTAAATTTATTTATTATGGAGGTCTTGTTTAGCTGGCATGTATAACTTTTTAAATGGGGAAATAAAACAGCTAACTTATATAAACCAGGGCTTTTCACAGACCTCATAGTTTGCTTACCATTCATTACCTGAGAATTTATCTAAGCCTTAAATAATAATGTCAATGAACATATCTTGAGTGCTTATAATGTTCCAGGCACTGTAATGAGTGTTTTATGGGTTTTATCTGATCTTCACAACAACTTTATGAGGTAAGTATATTTTTGTCCCCTATTATAAGTGAGAGAAATGAGGCTTACATTAACAAGATAACTCACAGTTTGTGTGTGCTATGCCAAGATTTGAAATTACATTTGATGATCAAATATAGTTACTTAATTCCCATGTTATATTGCTTCCTGTTTAACATCTGCCATTTATTTCCTCAGCCTGTGCAAATTCTCTGTTTTCTCTCTGCTGTGTGCTTAATGAGATGAATGACTATGTGTTTTGAGAGTTAACCCTGCCCTTGTTGTGGGCAACAAATCTAGATTACTCTTCATATTCTACATCCTGCTTCTTTCCAGATTAAGGGAGAATACTATTTTTTTCTATTTATCTCTTGTACCTTCTCAATCGTATCTCCCTTTTTTTTTTTAGTGTATTTTGTATCTGTCAAACAGTTCAAGTGTTAAACTTAATATTTTTTTCTATTTACCTCTTGTACCTTCTCAATCGTATCTCCCTTTTTTTTAGTGTATTTTGTATCTGTCAAACAGTTCAAGTGTTAAACTTAGCTATAAGATATAATAAAATTCTATTTTAAATTTTGCTAAGTGTTATGCCTATTGCTTTTATATTTATAGAATCCTATAATCTCCGATTTGAAGATACAAGAGGTTTTCTGGTCTTCTTTCCCACCAGTGCAGGAATCCTGATAGGTACCATTTGTATGACTGTAAAGATGCTAATGCATCTTTTCTCAGGATCTGATGAAAAGCTGAAATCTGACTGCAATCCTTGGGCCTATGTTTTCCCTCAGTAGCTTCACTGAACAAACCTTGGGTGGGGGACTTGGGTGGAGAAACCATGGAGGAGATTTCAACCTGTGAGCTCTTGCTTAAGAGGAGGGATCCTGGGAGCATTCAACTGGGATTTCCTGCTCAGAGCAGTAAAGTCATGCAGCCAATCAATGCAGCTAGATCAGGACTGAGGGAAAGAGAGAGAATGGAAGAAAGAGGTAACTTCCTTAAAGAAACAAAGAGATGCCCATGCTCTGTGAAAATGGAGATTCAGGTATTTGGCCTCACTCCAAATAATGAGGTCCCCACAACCTCCATCTGTTTCTGTCTTCCTGTGCATTACTATATCTCAGTTAAACCCTCCTGCCTACTTCCATATGCCTAAGAGCATGGTCAAAAAGACAATTTAATAAAGTGTGTATCTCTTGCTCCCAAATTCCTCACTGTGTCCCACCACAGTGCAACATATTCATATTCTATTTCTGTCTTTCCTACCCTTCCCGCTGCCCTATGATTTTTATTTTTAAAAAGTCATCTAAAGACTTGTATGCCAATATTCATAGCAGCACTATTTACAATAGTCAAAAGGTAGAAATAACCCAAGTGTTCATCAACAGCTGAACAGATAAACAAAACATGGTATACACATATAATGGAATATTGCTCAACCATAAAAAAGGAACAAAATTCTGATACATGCTACAAAATGGATGAACTCTGAGAACATTATGCTAAGTGAAATAAGCTAGACACAAAAGGACAAATATTGTATGACTCCACTTATGTAAGGTATAGAAAATCGGCAAATCCATAGAGACAGAAAGCTGAATAGAGGTTACCAGGGGCTGAAGGGAGGGGAGGATGAATAATTACTATTTAATGGGTACAGAATTTCAGTTTGGGTGATGAAAAAGTTGTAAAATGGATAGTGGTGATGGTTGCACAACAATGTGAATATACTTAACCCCACTGGGTTGTATACTTTAAAAAAATTTAAATAAATGTAAATGTTAAATGATAAATTTTATGTTATATGTTTTACTACAATACTTACCAAAGAAATAATATAAACTATTTCCTTATCAATGTTATGTCAAGAACATGTTGAAATGATTGATTGTACTAGTATTTTGGATATATTGGACTAAAGAAAATATATTATTTAAAGTTTTTTTTCTTTATTGATTAAGGTATTACATATGGTCCTTATCGCCCCATTGCTCCCCCCCGCCCAGCCCCTCACTCATGCC